ACACACACACACACACACACACACACACACACACACACACACACACACGAGAAGCAGCCCATTAACAAATGTGACCAGTATGTCTCTCCCCCTTCTCCTGCTCGCTCCAGTTCACAGCTCTGAGGACTGTCCTCATGCACTCTGCTCGCTCCAGTTCACAGCTCTGAGGACTGTCCTCATGCACTCTGCTACCCGAGAGGAACAGAAGGCCGAAACAGCATGCCTTTAACAGAGGGGCAGGCCAAGGTCTAGACTCTGGAGATGCAAGTCCTGAGAGGCACTTCAGCTCTGCCTTCCCCTCATAACCTGCAGGCAGCAGGAGCCCTGGCTTTACCGGACACGAGCCAGCCCGCTGCTGCCCTACAAAGAGCTGGGAGAGGCACTCACCGCTTTGGTTCGCTCTCTCAGGCTGTTGTCCTCGTAGTGCGGGTGGTTGGTTAAGGTCCTGCCCGTGCACAGCTTGACGCCGGCCAGTAACTGCATGCTTCCAGCAAACACAGCCTTCCTTGGAGTTTTAGAGCTAAAAGAAAAAGGTCATGAAGAACCTAGGGGCAAGACAGGAATACAGACGCAGACCTACTAGAGAATGGACTTGAGGACATGGGGAGGGGGAAGGCTAAGCTGGGACAAGGTGAGAGAGTGGCATGGACATATATACACTGTCAAATGTAAAATCGATAGCTAGTGGGAAGCAGCCGCATAGCACAGGGAGATCAGCTCGGTGCTTTGTGACCACCTAGAGGGGTGGGATAGGGAGGGTGGGAGGGAGGGAGGGAGACGCAAGAGGGAAGAGATATGGGGATATATGTATATGTATAGCTGATTCACTCTGTTATAAAGCAGAAACCAACACACCATTGTAAAGCAATTATACTCCAATAAAGATGTTAAAAAAAAAAGATTTTAGAGTCTAAATTAACCTCACTGCTAAGGCTTCCACGAAGATAGTATCACACACTCAGGATCACCCAGCTATGTTCGGAAGGGCTATGAGTTGGGAAAAACACAGGAGGCTGCTGGAGATTCTGATTTGCACTCAAACTGTTTTATGAAATTTTTCGTATCTGTTTTTGACAATGATTGGGAAGCTTCTCACTTACTGTTTTGATGGGTTTACTCTTATAATGAATTGTCTTAGGATGTGGGTATCTCCTGAGTCTTGGCTAAAACCCACAACCCTCTCCTGCTCTTGTTCCAAAGAGGCAGATTCTAACACGAGGCCTTAGAAGACTGCCAGTGCTTTTTGTATTAAACTTAACTAAAAGGGCTGCCTAGAGTAAAACAAATTATAAAGCCAGAAACTGCAGTTGCCATGAGTCAATTCCAAGGGTTTTTGGTTAAAACAAGAAAAAAAGATCACAGATATTACTATAAATTACTCTTTAGAAAAAAAGAATTAGTAAAAACAAAAGAACACGGAAAGAAGATTCTGAACTAGCAGATAACTTATTAAATTATCACACTCAGTATGAAGATGTACAATATTTCTGATGCGGAAGCAGAAGTATTTTATGTATTCCTTTCCTTTAGTCCTGATTATGAAAGACTACATGCATCTTAAGGAACACAGGGTATTCTGGTATTAAATTAAGATCTCACTTTCCAATTATCACCAAGCTGTGACTCTCTGCCTCTCCATGGGATGCGAGGGACAGTGACGGAGGGCCAAGGAAAGACTTCCCGATTTCTGTGAAAGCATTTTTCCTTTTCCCCCGGAAAAAAAAAATCTTGGTAGTTCATTTAATTCCCTTCCATTTTGTTTAAAACCTGGGAGCCACCTGCAAATCAACGAGGTGTCATTTTATTGTGAAGAACATACGGGCTGTTCCATGGACTCTGCTCGATGCACCATCTCCGATACAGGCCCAGTAGGAATACTGCAAGATATACTCGCCCTTCCTGTGTTAACAACAAGGAGTGTGTGGCTGCTAGGGTGAGTTAAAATGATGGACGTAGTTTTTTTGAGAAGGAGTCTAATTGAAATCATTAAAACTCAACATACTTTACAGAAAAAGCCACAGCAGGCCGTTCTCCTCAGTGTTTCTGGACATCAGGGCATGAAATTTAGTGTTCAAGTTTCTAAGAGAAGTCTCATCATATTCACATATTCCGTGAGGATGTTCTACTTACTCCATTTTAATGCTACGCCTACAGCACGAATGCCACCCAACAAAGGCCTCTGATGTCTACAAGCAAGGCATCCTACAGCTCAAGCTGAAACAGTTACAAATAATTTACTTTTGGAAAATGCAAGATTTTCTAACAATGACACTCTCGTTCACTCAAATTCCAATAAGCTTTCTTAAGTGATGAAAAAAGTGGATAGAATTACAAGGAGCACACAGGGAATGACACAATCTTCACCCTCCCTTATTCCTGTCAGACCCCAGAATAGATTACAAGAGAAAAACTTTTATGTGAACTTGGCTGTGCTTCATAGGATGTCATCATTCTGACAACTAGACCCAGGAACACAGGCATAAATAGATGTCTGCTCTGTCCCCCTGAACCAGCAATTCATAAGGAATTCTTGACATGTGTCCCATGTGGTCAGGGAAATAGGAGGGTTTAAATGAAAAGAGGTGCACTGAGTTCCTTAGTGAAAGGTTTCTATAAAAATTCCATTTTATTCAATGAATACTTACTAAACGTTTAGTCTGTGCCATATATACAATGCTGCCCTCATTTATAGTGTCCCGTAATTGCTAAAGACAATAAATATGAACAAATAAAATTAAAGAAAATGTGTCACCATTTTTCCGGTTCAGTCTTCTTTCCTTCCGTCTACTCTTAACTGGCACAAACCATTCTACTGCAATAAATTATACAATTAATGCCACAAAGTGGCTGCCTTTGGCTCCTCTGAACCAAAGAGATTTAGAATGCAGGGAGAAGATGAGTCTGGTCTCCATGTCTGGCAAAGCATGAGGTAGAGGTGAGAGCTAACAGAGAGAGAACCCATCCTGGTCTGTACAGTCTTACTGCCTAAGAGTGCCAAACTTGTCTCTCTTCACAAACGACAAATCCAGCAGCTGAGCTGATAGTATCCATTCAAATCTTTAGGCTGTCTCAGCATCATCATTTTGAATATATAACAGGATTCAGCATAAGGGAGATGCACAGAGCTGTTTCTAGTTGTGGCAGAGATAGATGACTGGCCTTTTATCTATTCATGGCTAATGACAAAGGTTTCACCACCCCGCCCCGGGCTATCATCACAATACTTTGATGAGTTATACAGTTCACAAAGGTTTAAAATGTCAAAAATCCTAAACTGCTTGCTGGGGAGTTATAAGGTTATTCTTTATTCAGCTAAAAGTTATTACTGAGGGCCTACTATGTGCAGGGCTGGTGATACGGTCTTCAAGAAGCTTACTGGCTAATAGACTCAGCTCTCATTACAGGCAAACACTTCAAAACAAGCCCATAGTTAGTCCACCACATACTGACGACTGCTTTCTGTGGGCCTGCAGCTATGCTGGAAACGAACACATCAGACACAGTAAATACGGCCTCTCTCCTCTGTAGGCTCTAAGAGCACTTGCTGCTCCCTGCCGCCCCAGTGGGTATGGTCCCCAAGGCAACAGCAGCCACCACCAGGTGAGCAAGTCATGTCACGTGACTGCTTAGAGAAGTTGAGGAAAAAAATGGAACAAAGTTCATTCGATTGTGACAAGTTTTAAAGTTTGGCCTCAGTAGAGAGTCAGGAAGTTTAAAAGAAATGCAGTTCATCTCAACTGCTGGTGCTACAATCCTCTGGATTTTTAACAGTCTTTCACTAAAGGTCCTTGGTTTTATTTTAAATAGCAAAATACAAGTACCCTAATGGATTAGATATATTTCTTTGAAAACGACTGACTTCCAAGCATACTAGAGATGATTTTATTCACTTGATTGTCTAATTTGGTTGTATATGCTAGCCCTATGGTAAATCTGGGATATTTAACTGCTCTCTTAAATATTTAAGTTTATCCATAAAGCAAATGCAAAAAGTAAAACAAGAAAAGTGAAACAAAATGAAAAAAAAATCACATTTTCTAGACCTGAAAAACCTAGATTCACAGTATTTTACATTTTCTGTGGTAAACTCAGTAGGCAAAGGGAGAAGGGATTCTTTGTCTTTAACTTAAAATATGCAGTATGACAGATGTAATGATGGGTATTCTTCCTTCACAGATACTTTTGCTGACACAGTCTGTGGTCTGTGTCTAAAATAGCTAATGTGCTTTTATCGACTGAATGACACTTCTCTATTATAGAAAAACAAAGCAATTTTTACCAATGTTTGAACAAATGATGTATAAAATGAAAGAATAATTTGTTTTTATAGTTCTCTGCCAAGCTCCATAGCAGGCTGCCCAACCTGCAAACAATTTATTCTGTAAGAAATGTCACTAAATAATGACAAGGACTCACAGGTCAAATGGATTTACATTATATAATTTAAATGTCATTCCAGGAAGACCTGATGGCATTTTGAACAAATAATCTCATTTAGTTTTGAAGCTCTAAGCTTCAACAAGTTAATTACTGTTGAACTAATGGGGAAACTAAGCATTATAATATAATGTGTGAACATTTGTTTTATCTACACTTCAAAATTTATAGAATTATGCAAATGCCACAAAATGATTCATTAAGTATAAAAGAAGCTTACAGGCATTTAAGGTCTGAACTTAACCTACATCATGTTTAAAACATACAGTAATTCTCTCTGCTTTGATTAAATGTGAAGGAAGTTTGGTCCATATTCTCAGGCCCATTGAGAAAATATTGCACATGCAGGCTTCATCCCTGGAAAGAAACTATTTCTAGTGAAAATCTCCTAAAGCCAAGTAGGTAAAATGTCACACTTCAAAACAGTCAAATCTACAGTCTATCTTAATTGCACAATGTCAAGGAAATGTTTCAGGAGCCAAAAATCAAACACTCTAAGGAACGAGGTATATGAACTACCAATTGCTGTGCCATCTGGCCTTGAAGTAAATGTGCTTTCTACTCACACATAAAACCTATAAAAGTACCACCTGGGTTTTGCTGAAAGAGATTCCAGAAAGTAAGAAAACAAAAACAAAAAAACAGGTTTTTAATCTTTGTATTCAGGAAACATCATCAGTAAAAACGGGTTAATGTGAACACATGCATTTAAATCTGCTGGAAAACAGGGCGTGCAGCACCTCAGTATAACGTGGAAGGCAGGCAACCAGCCTGGTGAACACACAGGCCGGGGTTGTGGAAGGCATGCAGATGTCGCCCTACTTCTCATAGGGAAGACTCTGGGGGCCTGACTGCAACAAAAGATTCTTGCTGATTAAAGAGAATTTAATCCCGAAGCATCAAGCATGAAGCCCCAGCATCAAGTGCACGAGGCTGACTAGGAGATGGTGGTAGCTTCTCCTCAACACTTTTCGCAAGAGTTGCCCTGTGACAAAGTGGAGGATCATTTGTGTCCCCTCGAGTTTCTGCAGGTCACTGTTCCTTGTTCTCACTCATCCCGGAGGGCAGGCAGCCATCCTGTAAGGGAAGCTGCACTCCCACCCCAATAGATGCTGTCACGACCGCCCTGACAAAGGACAGATGTGAGTGTATCACTTTGGTTATTTGAGAACAGAAGCAGACAGGATGGGGAGGAGGTATCCCTCTCTAACAGTGCTGGGTGGGGACCAGAGGTCTGGCTGCTGCCTTTAGACAATTTCAAACAGATTTTCAGATACACTCTGTATCCTTAGCCCACAGCCTTTTCTCTAGCACAGCTCAAACCTACTAATATCACAAACACTGTGTGACTAATCAAGGTAGTGGAGTGAAAGTAGAAGGTCATATTTTATGTTTTAAAAACAGAAGAAATCAGGACAGGTTAAAAGAATAATAAATGCATGCACTTGTGTTTGGAATTGAAGTCTACAGACCAGAGCTGATTTAAATGTTGATTTAAACAAATACACTTTATGTCTAAACAGACCCTATTTTGGCATACATTCATCATCACTTAAGCTTATTTCACAAACATGCCTAGCAGCTATTTTGCAAAAACAATAATTTAGATTTGAAGACTTTGAAGGGAAAACAGGCAAGATTAGATCACAATAGAACCAATTTTTTGGAACAATACAAATCCTTCAGTTGCTGAGAATTTTTAAAAAGTGAAAAGTCTACATACAGTGAGAAGAACTGTTAGTAAAAGGAGAATGTAAGAACAAAGACCACTTCCCCAAATGCAGAGTAAAAGATTATCTTCTTTACACATGGAATAAGCTCTCATCCATAATTTTTCAGAACCACAAATGTTATTTTAAATAATTTTCTGTGAGCAAAAGCATGAAAAAAAAGGTGTTACAAAAAGTATATCCTGTCTGACACAGCCAAAGACAACTCTGCTAGGATAACATTTTAATGACACTACAATTAATTCCTAAAAGGCTGGGGAGTAGAGGTGAGATGTTTTAAAATGCCAATCCAAGGAGATCCAGAAGATCTGCCACCTTCAGGATTCTACCAGACTGGGTACCCTACACCATTCCTATCAATGGTGCAATTTGAAGAATAGAAAATATCAGCCTCACCTTCAGATGCACATGTCATAAATTTCCAGTTGACTATAGCTAATGCAAAAGTAATTAGCTTTTCTTTATATGAATAACCCTCTTTTCCCTTACACAATAAATACTGAAGGAATTACTCTATAATTGTCTGCCATGATTTAAAGTTAAATAAATACATAAAGACAAAGCACTACTTTGTCAGCACTACAGCACTGAACATATATGAAAAATTATACTCATTGCATCTAGTCAACCCAGTCCAACATTGGGACCAAAGCCACATATATATTTTAGATACAAATCTCTATAAAATCCATGTATTGTACTCAAGAGACCTAAGCTATCAAACATTTACCATCTCTCAACTGTACTGGTCAGTAAACATTAGTCACCAGCAAGTGCCAATATGGCTACTAAAATTCTAAGTGATGGAGACAATACAGCCAATGCTTTCAGAATATGTCACATAACATTTGCGACACCTGTTTAAGTGTGAATAATTACACTGCTGCTTTTTGGTTATAAAATAGGTAAATACAGTATTACAGGGCACAGGAATGCTGCTCTGGGTAAAAAAGTTTATTTTTGCTGGTGGGAGGCAGGTTTCATTAACAAAACTTTGAAAAACACAAGTCTCATTCTGATGCTGAATGCTGAGGCAAAGCAACCGTGCAGGCAAAAATAAAAACCAATATAACATGAAAGCATTATGATGTTCAAGAAAGGAAAAGCTCTAGCTTTTGAATTTTAAATTTTCTCTAGGCCTAATCTTGGGCAATATGATTAGTTAAAATGAAATCTGCACTGAGCTAGTATGACTCTAATTAACTGTAGTTTACAGTATAATTTTTAAGTGATTAACAAGGAAAGAATATCTTATGTGGCAGTATTAATAGAAAATTTGAATGGTATTAAAATGAAAGAAATGATAAAGATAAAATTGGCAGAGAATATAAAACTTTATTTCCATTGCTGTCACTGGTTTGAAATGCATCCTCTGACTCTGTTTCCCTCTCTGTATTGGTACTTTCCCTTCTTCACGGGATTGTGGTTAGAGAGAATATTTTTTGAATGTAAAGAAATTATTTGCAAATATAGAGTTTTAAAGAAAAACTTGAGAATGAATGTATCTTCATAATTAGATTCAGAAAAAAACCAAAAAACCAAAAACCAAATGAGGTCTACAGTGACTCTTAAAAGGCACTTTACATTTAAAAGTTAAAAAAAAAAATCCTCTTACTTAATCCAGTTCATCAGCTCCACTGTATCTGGATCATAGAATTCTCTCAACTCGGAGAGCTCATCCATCATTCCTGGCCAGAACTGAAATTAAAAACAAAACTAAACAAAACCAAAATCCACCCCCAGACCCACAACTATCACTAAGATTAAAGTGAAAAAGGAGAAACTGCATATAACCTGTGAACTAAATAAACACGGTAACTGGAATATTAGAACTACGTCACTTCTGCAGTCAACCCTTCGAGTGTAAGTGAGATAAAGTCTGAGAAAAGTTTCCAAAATTATTGTGAGCTGGAGCTAATTAGAAGTAGAGGTGTTGCCAACTTTAAAAAATGAGCTTTTATTTTACACTAATAAAAATGCTATTGTATGTGGTGTTAATAGCTAGTAAAACATAAATTTGGATATGACAGGAATAGCAACCATGAGAAAGTTCACAGGATATGAGGAAAATGTGACTAATCAACTTCATGCAATTTATCTTTAAATGTAGAATGTACCCTGTAGAAGACAGCACCATCTTAGAGCTGCAAAAATGCTATGGAATATACAGAATCTCACTTTATCCTCACAACTCCTCAGGGAGACAGATGACACAGAAGGCATCATCACCATGGCTATTTATTTTTCATTTTACTAGTCTGGAGGCCTCGGCTCAGAGAGATAGATAACCTGAGTCGCTTAGATCAGAGTGGCAGAGTCACAACTGGAAACTTTTCATTGTGTGATATGGTGATTATGTTGTTTAAACTAGAAATCTGGACAAATGGTTTGATGAATATTAACATAATTACAGGTACAAAGGGAGAGAAGAATATTTGAAAGTAGGACGGTCCAGGAAAATCTGGTACATCTGAGTATTATATTTATGCCACTGGTGCCTCCTACTCAACTTGAGTAACTTAAGCTATGCAGATATAATGTAAAAATACACTCTGAACCCACTGCTTTTCTAATATAACTTGTCTGTTTAATTCAACAATTAATTAAATGTTCACTGTTTTATCAAATGGCAGTTGGCTAAAAAGACTTGACCATCTAAATACATGCTAAGGTGAACTGCAGAACTCATTTCCTATATTGGAATAGAAGCCCAGTGATAATGTATCTACATTTCATTAAAGTTGCAAGTATAATCTTTTTTATTTAAGAACCACTAACTGGAAGCAAAGTGGCACCTGACTGGTCTATGGCTGTTATTTTTATCACTATCACTTTCTTATCTTGTCATTTCATCTTTGGCCATTTTTACTACTCATTCATATCTTGTCTCCTGGGTGGGTAAATCAAGAAAATTGCTGGTGTTGGTGACAGAAAATCAGGTGTCAGCACTACTAGTCCTAGGTTTCAGAAGAGATGTAATAAAAATTACTGATTAAATGATACCTCTATAAGATTCCAATTATCCATTATCCCTATTAATTTTGATAACAATAGAATACCAACTTTTAAATGATGTTTTATTATTTTCGTATAAAACATATTTTGAAATCTGTGAATTCAATGGTTATTAGATATTTTTCTAGTTTGAAATTTGCTGTTAATTCTGAAAATGTTAATATCTGGTAACACAGTCTTATGATAAACATCTTAGACAACGTGAAAACAAATGGTGAATTAACTAAATGCTGTTCCTAAATGATCAGCAGTGTTTATATGAGATTTTAGGTATCCAAATAAGTTAATTAACATGAGAGCAATAATGTTATTAAACTCTTGATTTTAGAGTGGAGACTAGCACATACTTTTCCCTTTTAAACAGGATTATCCTAAGCAGACATATAGCAAAATAAGTATTATGAACAAGAAAATTTGAAATCCTCATTATAAGTGCTATGTAAAACTTAAATCAGGCTTTGAAATATTAGTTGGTATTTCTTACAGATAAATCTGTTCAATAGTTGGAAAACATATTCAGTTTCATACATAAGATCTTTATTTTGTGATTTTGTATTTTATAAGACACAAATACAGTTTTGAGAAGCTGAAATTCGTAAACTATTTTATACAGTGAAAGCTGGACGCGTTAAGATTTCTCCTGAAGTCCAATACTGAGAGAGGCGAGGCCATCTGTCTTCGGAAGGATTCTTCAGAATTACTACTAACTCTCTTACTCAGGGTACATCTACAAAGCTATCATTGGTTCTTCCATAGCACTGGTTCTCAAGAGGGGTTGGGGGAGGGATTCTGCCACACCCGCTAGGGGACATTTTGCAATGTCTAGAAACATTTTTGATTGTCACAACTGGAAGATGGTGCTATTGGCATGTAGTGGGTAGAAGGTATGGATGCTGCTAAGTGTCCTATAATGCACAGGACAGCTACTAAGACAAAGAATTATCTAGACAAAATGTCAACAGTGCCACTGCTGAGAATCCCTGTTCTCTGCAGGGGGTTCTCAAGTTTGATGGTGCATTAGCACCACCTGCAGGGCTGGTTAAAACCTGGATCACTGGACCCCACTCCCAGAGCTCCTGATTCAGTAGGTCTGGAGTAGGACCCAAACATCTGTATTTCTAACAAGTTCCCAGGTGATGCTGATGCTGCTTGTTTATTTCTTCTATAATGTCCTTCCTCAATGTTATCAAGAACAAGAGACTTAAGTCCTCAAGTAGCTATTAAAAAATCAACAAATTTTCAAATAAATATCTGAGACGTAAACGAACTCATCCTACACACAGAGACAGTGGGAAAGGACTGTTACGGTGTGTGTATGTCTTTAGTGGTGAGACAGGAATGATGATGAGCTGCATCTTCTCTGTGAGGAAGGTGCTTTATCCCTCAGAATCAATGTGTAATAAGGCTACCTCATTCATCATTAAACATATACTCTGCCTAATCCTTAACTGTTGCTTTCCAGATGTTTGTAAGAAGTTTCATTTATTTACCGTAGAGCAATAAAATTCCCAGAGGCATGGTGGCAGAAATGACCTATTTCTATGTTTTCTAGTATCTGGGAGTTGGCACTGTGGTCCACCCATAACAGCAAATGTTTTGATAGACAGAAAGACGATAGAACATAATTTTTTGAAATATTTACAATAGAATTGTCTAACAGTGATTATCAAACATTTCTTTTAGCCTAAAACCTTTGCTTCAAATAAAATCTTACATGAAAATATAAGCAAATAAACCCAGAAGCTGAGCTGCCATAGCTGATCCTTTCTGTAGGAGAGTCCCACCCGCCTCCCCACTCCCTTTAGCTGCCCTCCCAAATCAGGAACTGTACACGGTAGAGTTTGAAATCCATTGTTCTACCTAAAATAAAGTTTGAAGAAAAAAAATCTAAACTTAAAAAATATGTAAGGTTTTTTTAAAAAAAAAGAGAGCATAAGAGCTCAATTGGATAAAACAATCCAAGCTACCTGCCCAGGTAACAATTCAAGCCTCTAAGTCTCAAAGGTGTGATGAAAGACTCACTGTCTCATATGGAGGAGTCTCAGAATTGAAATACAGTTAATGCTGTTTCAGAAATTAGTCAACTGAGAATATGAAGTATTTCTTTATTTCCTACTGAAACTGAAGGACATAAGCAGGCTAAACTTAGACTGTATTTATATGTGTCCAGCCCTCTTACAAAGATGATTTTAAGCATCTAATAAAATATGTAGGTTTAACGTAAGATGCATTTTAGGATCTTACTCTATAAAAAGCAGGTAACAGGGAAAACTAATTTTTCTCCTTTATTCACCTCAATATAGGTCTGAAAACATCTTTATTTTCAGAATTTGCATCAGCTGACGAGTAAGTCAAAACCAAAATTAATTAAAATAATTAAATTGTAGTATTTTTTGTTATAATGTTTTTACCTGTTAAATCCCATTTTGGGAAGAACATCACTCTTCCTATCGATGTCAACTGCCATAAGAAGCAGCTAAGTAGATATTTGTAAGTTCTGCAAACCACTCTACTTGCCAATGACACACAAAGTACACTGAGTCAAAGCAATTATTCTGCTAAATAGATTAAAGACAGGAATGAGGACAATCAACCTTACCTTATAGCACAGATACAGCAGTATTAATATCGGTATTGAATATCGCATTATACATATCTATATAAGAAAGACATTATTTAGATTACAAGTGTTTGGAATATTTCTGCTTTTACATTTTCGCTTTGTAAATACATTTTTTTTAAACAACAAAAATATAATTTAACAGAGCATGAGTCTCCGATATGCAAGAAAACTGAGTCAGTCATTCATAAGCTATTTGTAGCTCCTACCATATTGCCACCTAGTGAATTTATAGGGCAGAACAACCCAGAACTGCACTTATGGGCCATTAATCATTACTGTACACTTAGTAGTAATTATGTTTACATTATAATAATTAACAATAATAATAATAGCGATAACTCTGGATAATGGGATTATTGGTGATTTTTAATTTTCCTCTTTGTGCTTTTCAGTATTTCCAAATTCTGTATAATGAACATATCTAATTTATGGTCTGGAAAAAAAATGATTTAGAAAATAAAGCTAAAATTAAACATAAAATTATTTTAAAATAATTCCTCATAAAATCATAATGTATCAATTATTTTTAGCTTTAAATTTTAGTATCCATTTTATCAAACTGATGTATGGACAACTGAAAAAAAAAACCCAACAGAATTGATAATTAAATACTAGAAGTCATAAAAATGAAATGGAAAAAGAGACAGCACTGACCCTCTTTGGGTTATAAAGATGGATCAACTTCAGAAGTAACTCCCATATTTCAGGGCTGCATAAGCCAAATGATGCAAACACACACATATGTGATGTCCAGAGGTACTTCATTCTGTAAGAAGAGAAGCAGGCAAAGGTCAACAGTGCTAGTTGTGTAGGAACCTGGAGTCTGAGACAGCTGTAAAGACAGCTGTATTATCTGTGATAGTAAAATCTTACTAAAACTATGCAGAAACCATTGCCAAGGGGTTACTTATTAATTCCACTGCCTTTTGAGAACCATCATATAAGTAAAAATAGAGGAATATTGGTAATTAGGAAAAAAACTGGTTATAAATAATATTTTGTGCTGGGAGAAGATAGTAAACAAGGAGATTTTTTTTTTTTTTTTTTTGGCGGTACGCGGCCCTCCCACTGCTGCAGCCTCTCCCGTTACGGAGCACAGGCTCCAGACGCGCAGGCTCAGCGGCCATGGCTCACGGGCCCAGCCGCTCCGCGGCATGTGGGAT